AGAAGATTTAAAATATCTACAAAATCCAGGTATCACGAATCCAAAGTCCAAGATCATATTTCATAATTTGAAAGAGTTTTTTTGTCCTGAATTTTTGAGCAATAAATTTTTAAGTTTCGAGTTTTGAGTTTATAAGATTTATAATTTGATCTTCACACAAAAAAAAAAAGAAAAATTCTTTGAATGAAAGATAATCGTTTATTTATTATTTAATTTATAAATTAAAAATATAATTTGCTATTAATCAGAATGATCAAAATTTCTTTATTAAAATAATTATATTATTAATACTTTTCTATTTAGATGTAGTAGAATTAAAACTGCAGACACTTTTAAAAGATGGAACAAGTACTTTCATGGATTTCGAATGGCTGGAACCAGAATTACCATCCTTCTTCGACGAAAAAAAATTTCTTCTCGGTCAGCAGATGTTTTATAACAACGCTTTCACCATGATGATTGCCAAACTATGTGGATTGTTATCTTTATTCGCTGTACCATCGATCAAGGACGTTTTAATGTTCACTGGACAAAGTGGTACACCATGCACCGCATTTCGCAGATATGTATCCACTATTTTGCACAATTGGATTTGGTATGGAAAAAGAGCCGGTATAGAAAAAGAGTAAGTAATAGTAAAATTTTTTTTTCAGAAATAATTTCAACAAAAGAGGATAACTTATTAAAAAACAAATATATAAGCCCAGACAAATGATATTTTATAAATATTTAGGAAAATAGCAAAAACACATCTGAGGTGAATCAAAATTCATTACAAATTTTTTCTTTTGTGATTTTAAATAACATAAAAATAAAATATTCTTTTTTTGGAAAATTTTTTTCAATTATTAATATCTTTTATCGAAAATAAATATGTTTATCATTTAATTAATCAATAATTAACTAAAATATCTTGTAAATATGTATATTTAAGCTTAAAAATACATAGAATTTGTATAAAAATTCATCCATCCGAAAATGGCCAAAAAAAAAAATTAAAAAATTCTTAAAAAAAGATAATAAATCTTCTTCGTTGAATCAGTAGCTTACTAATCCAATTTCTTGGAAGCGTGTATGAAGCTGAAAGTGTTAAGAATAATATTTCCTTCAAATTAATTTTTATTGTTAATATTTACGTTACAAAGCATCTTTATCACATATCTCTATTTATCATTATATTTATCTCTATTTATCATTTATCATATATCTCTATTTATCATTTAAAATTTAAAATGGAATTTACATTAGGCAGATTTAACACGCGTCAAGAAAATTTGATTTTTTTTACGAATTCTATCCAAATATCCTGCACACGATGAAAATATGTTTGGAAAGATCGACAGAGAAACATCATTGGTATTCGAGGAAACGGGCGCATGCACCGGTATTTTAATCGATTTATCTTGCCGAATATAATCCTGTATAAATGATCAGACAGAATAATTTCGTATCTGGGAAAATCCAAAATGCCATTGACGACAAGTGTATTATAAATATTTTTATATATATAACACAATTTTATTTAAATAAAAAATATTATTATAAATAAAAAATTTTAACATAAAAATATTATTTTTATATTCTATTTAAAATAGAAAAATTAATTGTAGTTATAATTTTATATTTTTCTGAGCTTCCAAATAATTTACATTCGTTTATAAGTATTTTATAAAAATTATTTAAAATTATTTGAACATTTAAATTCGAATATCTTGTAAATACTGTAAAATAAATCAAATGTGAATCTTGAATTTATTTAAAGCAAGATGTGTAAGATTATTTTCTTTTTTATCTTTTACAGGTTTCTCGAGTCGTTGAAAATTGTGCGAAAAAAACACTGCGTAGCGTTTCGAAGAAGCTCAGAAGCAGGGCTGAACAGAGTCTCGCAACTGGATATGGCATTGGCTCAATTTGGATTCATGGGTTTCACCCTTTTGGGCGGTGACTATCTTGGGGTGAATAACAATTTCGAGGAATTAGAAGGACTGATTCACTTCTGGCGAGTCATTGGCAGTATGTTGGGCATGGAAGACAAGTTTGTACATTGTATAAGCTTTTGACAAAAACTTTTCTTTTTTTTTAATTTATACACCAATTGTCGAAAATTATTTTATAAAAAATCATTTTATTAATTTGAAAAATTCTAATTTAATATTAATCAGTATATTTTATATAAGTTTTATAGATATTAGATAGATTAATTTTATAGTTTAATACTTTGAATACTTTTAATTTTAATAATTTTTATAATAAAAGTTAGTAAACAATTTTAAAAAGATTAAAATAGAAAAATAAAATTTTATGTATATAAAATAATATAATAAATAATTAAATATATTTTATACAGATACAATATATGCACTGGAAGCGTTGAAGAAACACTTGCTCTTTGTAGACGACTTCTAGACGAAGTTTTTCTTCCATCACTCGCTTCTAGTGGTAAAGATTTCGAGGAAATGAGTCGTGTTTTAATCAAATCTCTATGGTCCGTGAATCCTTATTTAGATTCAACCGCTTTCGTCCAATTCACTTTTATTTTTGCATCAAGTATCGCTACGAATAATAATCATTCGTTAAAAATAGGTAAATTTTATGATAAAAGTATTAATGATTATTTAAACAACAATTTAAATAAAACTTATATATTTTCAGCTCCATCAACCATGTCGTGGTATAGTAGATTTATATTGAATCTTCAGTTATTTACACACAAATATCTGCTACCATCTTCCTATTGGTGGTCCAGATTCTTCAGGGCGTTCTTCAATAGTCAAATGCGATTAGCAATTTATTTGACGGAAAATTTACCATTTCTGGCTTTCTGGAACTATGGTATAAAACATTCTTACGTCGATATATACAAATATCACGTCAATATCCGAGCTTAAACCGCAAACGAATAATTGAAGAAGATGTCTTCCTTAAAATGTACCTAAAATGTACATAATTTGAAATGATTAACGCATAAAGCGTAAACTGTTCTTATTATAATCAGTAAGATACATATCAAAATATATTCTGTAAATGTTTAAACTATAAGTTAATAACTTAAGTCGATTTTAAATTCGATTTAGAAAATAAGGATTATCATTATAATAGTTTTATGTTAATTATTGTACCTGCAATGACAAGAAAATTCGTACTTAGAGAATAATTTGTAAAGCTATATTTAAAATTATGTATTGACTAAATGTAAATATAGATATATTTGTACATACGTATAATATACGTGGTAAATACAATCTCAGACTAAAACTATAACTATCTATTTTCCCGCTAATAAGTTCAAATAAAATGATGAATTCAAGATTTGGGACAAGGATACATGTGAAATTAGTTTCAAATCAAAGACAATGACCCATCGAGCGTGCACCATTCTCGCTTATGCGAAAACCTTAAAAACTGTGTAATTTTTCCACGCAACGTTTCGTAATTTTAGTCAAGTCTGCCTTATCTCTCGCACCATGGCGTCTGGTGAGTGTTTCTCTTTCAGATGAATCTACAATACTTATCGTACGAATCGTAAACCTGTCGTTCGACCCATGTTTTTATTTATTCACTCGAAACAAGTCGCGTCGAGACTTTCGTTTTTTCGTTTACTTTTCTTGAAGATAAATTCCTCGTGAATATACATATATATATCTAAGTAAAAAATTGTTAATCGAATCTAAGATCGGTATATCTTTTTAAGACCCGAGTTGCAATAATAGAGTTTATATGTGTCCAAAGTCAATTAACCTTGAATACCATATTGCGTACACGACACTGTGACTGCGATAAACATATTACACACATAACTATAAAACAGATTTAATCTCGTCGGACAAAATACACAAATTTTAACGTTACGATCGAACGTCATGTTTTAATTTAATACGTTTTTGTAAAAATCGTAAAATTTCTGCACAGATAGAAAGTTAGAACCCGCTGTACATACAAATTTGTGATCGCAATTCGAATAATTGCACCTCAATCTCAGAAAATTATGTTTTTTCTTCGGTAACTTCCGGTCAGTATCATTCTCGATAAACATGCACAACGGTACAACAACGACATCGCATGTCACTGGCAATTTTACAGCGCTTTATTATTTGCAAAATTCAAAGATGAAAAAATAATTTGCGTATTTCTTACCGGCTATTTAACGAACAGTTTTTTTCTTATTCGAACGATGATATAAATGAAATATCTATTATTTTCTTTATTGTTGATGTTATGCAGGAAAATAAAAATTTTTTTTTTCAAAATTTTGATATTTTACAAATAGTAAATTAATCAACAATGTTGCTTCATTTTGATATAAACTGGTGATTCTAGAAGATATTTACAGGTAAACCAACGAAGATCCAGTGAATGAAAAGCGTGGAATAATACGGGAAGATTCGTTGAATGTCGAGTAACGAGGGCAGCCGAAAAAGCAACATAGTATTTAAGAAAAATGCAAGAGTTCCGTGCAACTGTGGATGGGAGGTGAGATTCGGTTATGGTGTCGCCGTTACTCTGGCCATCTTCGAGGCAAAACGGTTTTTCATGTTGATCCTGGAGATATTCGCCGAATGGCAGATCATTCGATTCGCGGGTGGTCTGCGACCAGTCGTATTTACCTTGACGAACGTCAGCTTGGGTCTGCCGACTGCTCTGATCACGGTCCGTAATATACGGAAGTGAGTACACGATTAAATTTATTCCCGTATTATAAATTCAATATGTTTGAAATTTCAAAGTTAAACGAAAAGCGTAATAAAGATGAATCCTCTAATAAAATCCGTGCATTGCATATTTTCTTTTATTTGTTTAACATTTTTATTTGTAATTATTGTATATCTATTATTACATCACACACACAAAACGATAATCATCAATTATTCCTTGTTTGTTGAATTTCTCCAATCATACTCATCCACTTGTTTTTCTCGTTTAGACGAAAGGTGCCACATTGTTGCGCGAAAAAAAGACGAACACTGCAATGCCTGCTTATAGTGATTGCGATATGCGCCATAATGAACGCTGCCACCATAGTCTCCATAGGATATCACATAAGCGTCAGGCAGGAGACATTGATCGATATTTTCAACAATTCGATGCACTTGTACGCGAGTACAGCATCGCACAAGTACGCGATCGACGAGATACAGTTCATCTTTCAGTGCTGCGGCCATTCCTCTTACGCAGATTGGTTCCTCTTTGACTGGCAGGTGAATCCACCATTCAAAAAGGGTAACTCGAAACACGGTATAGCAAGTGTGAACAAAAAATATATACAGAATATTTAAAATGCAATGTGATATCAAAAATGTAATTCGTTGATCAGGGTGTGGATTATGCCTCGCGAGAGGAAATGGCAATTCACAGTCCGATATCCGACGAAGAATATAGGGATAAAAGTGTCCCGTTTAGCTGCTGCAATTTACATGCAATGTCACCGTGCGAGCACACGCAAATATCGGAAAACGATATCAGAACTATAAACATGAATGGTTGTGTCGAAGTCATGAGTCCTGTTATTCTCAGGATCGTGATCGTGGCCTATGTCATGACCAGCACATTGGTGATCATTCAGTTTTTTTTAGCTTTTTTAATCTCAAAGGTGATTTTAATTACCCTATAAATTCTTATCTCTCTTTCTCTCTCTATCATTATCTCTTCTCCTATAAAATTTTAATAAGAAATTCCGAATATCCGATGAAAATTTATTTATTCGTCTTAATGAGATAAAATATATATATATATATATAAAAAAACCAAAGTAGACTGTCATTGACGAAATGCAAATAGATTTTCTTGATTAAATTTTCGACCTTTCCTTATAGATGATACGGAAACTTTTATGCGGAACGTGTCGCATGTATCGTTTTCCCAAGTCCTTTGCCAATGAGTCTACCAGCGCGTCGTTGGATAGCTCAAGGTGATCATTCGTAATTTGTTTTTCAAGATGAAAATATATCGCGGTCGTAAATTGTTCAATAATTTCAATCGAATCGTTAAATTTCAATTAAGAACGAGTTACAATTTATCGATAAACGACCAGCGTCGCGTCGTTTCCGCGGATCCCAGTGTGGTCCACGGATAAGATAATTCTAGAATCGACACATCTTCGGCGTTTAACATGACAAATGAGACCTCTTATCTCCCCACTTTCAGTTCAGAGACAGAGAGACGCTCAAGCACATCCTCTTCGAACTGGGAATCACGGCATGCGAAGAAACGCGATAAACGTAAACGAATCGATAAACAAGTGTCGACAAAAAGCATTTCTTTTAAACGTAAAGACAGCTTTAAAAGGGATTTGAACACTTCTTCTTCACCGTTCGATTCTTCGCCAAAAAGTGGGAAACGTTCTACTCGTTTTAGTAAGATTTTCGGTGCCGCCAGGATCAAACCGAGCGCTCACGAGCAACACACGATATCCAAAAAACGAATGTACGACGATGAAACGCGTTGACAAATTTACTATTCGCATGTTTATCCCATCCATGTAAATCATCTCGCGTCACAAAGGATGTTTTACGACCATTTAGATGGATTTAAAAAAAAAAAAAAAAAAAAAAGCATTAACATATACGCGAAACACGCTCGAGTTCTCGAACAAAGAAGAAGTTCAAGAACAAAGAATCGAGAAGATAAGTGTAAAGATCGTTTCTTGGAGGAACAGCTGGCAAATATTGTAAGAGAGAGACTTGATCTTGCAGGTAAAAGCTTAACTTTGAAGAATATTCGAAGGCTCGAGGGAATTGGAGAGGAGAGATGAGATTTTTTTTTTCCGTGGGAACACCTTCTGAAAAGAAACGCAAAAAAACATGACATGTGATAAAGGTGTGGAGGTGACGTTAAGACAAGGCTAACTAAGCGTCTTTGATAATAATGAAACACAAATTATAATGATCAGAGAAGTTAGCGAGGGAAAACCGCGTTCGTAGTGGGGATCGACAAATCTTCCGTTTAGTAATTCAAGATCGTCCACTGGAGTGCAGTACGACTCAAAGCACTGTGGAAGACGCATTGATAACCTAAGTTGCATATAAGGCAAAATATTCCTTCGTATCTTTATCGAAACGACTTGTCGCAGGTTTGTAAAGTTCTGTCTCGCAGATTTTACAGATGTAGTATTTAACATAAGCTATAGTTTGGTAAGACGTAGGCAATATTATATAAGTGTATGGTTAGACTATGAATAATGTAAATGTATAAAGTTATCGCTATCGCTACGGAGAATCGTATCGATTTTTGAAATTTTTGAAATCAATCTGAAATCGTTACACATAAACATTCTCAAAACTAATATTGTTTTCGCATTTCTGCGATAAAAAATTAAATCGAGTTTATCATTTCTGAAATGCATTGGATTAATAAAAATCTTTTATTCTAAATCTTAATATTTGAAATATAATCTACGTGCAAAATAATAATACTTCCTAATGTAAATGAAAGTATCAAAATATATGTATTTTACGACATTAAGATGTAAATAACATTATAAATATTCGAATAAAAGTCAAAAATCTTAATTTTATTCGTTTCTTCTTCATATAAGCGCGCGAAATTGCTAACGCTCCCCACTCTTTCTCATACATGTGATCGGTAAATTTCGTAAACATTCGTGCGTTGTACTTCGGTCCCCACTACTAATGATCGTGAGTCTTCGTTCTCTTCGGGTTCGTTCGGATTACCAAGCGCGCGTTCGCTTAGTTCACTTAGTTCAGTCGAGAAGCGTTTGCGTGTCAGTAGACATCGTACTTGTTGCGATCTTTGTTAATAATCGCCATTCTGTCGATATCATAGCATGTGCCCACCAGTTCACAGTCACGTATACGTTTACCTGCCGCATCACCAGCCCCACAATAAACTCGTCTCTTACGGCTACCGTTAGGGTTGCCGTGACATCATATCTAGTTGTGTCCTTTCCTCTTAGAAAAAACCGGTAACGCCATTGTAAGGTCTGCAAGTTTTCCTTTCGTCCTCTCGTTGAAGAATGTATATTCAGCTGTAGCTTAAACGAAGAATCTCTATTGGTGTGCAGTGATAGTATGATTTTTTTTTGGATATTTTAGTGAATTCGGAATCGCGGTTGTATTAGGTGGGTGAGTTCGCACGTGGTAAATGGCAGTGTGCACAAGCATTACAACCTCAAGCCATATATTTTCCGTCCATAGTGGTGCTATTTGATCGAACGTAAACGACAAAGATCGAGAAAAAGAAAAAGAAATAATACGAAAAAACAACACGCGCGAAAAAGAAGCAATCGAGTGAACGGAACAGAAAGATCGGGGACAAGATACGAAATTGCGAGAGCAGCCGAAGTCTGTGTAACGAAGAAGGAAAAACCGAGAAAGAAGATAGACAAAGACAGCAATAGAAATCTCATTTCGACGAGTAACTAGCCACAAGCAAGATGAGCTGCTGCACGAGTGCTCCGATTGTAACCCAAACCTGTGAGACTCTTCTGAGCAAGTGTGAAATCCCGATCATCGACCTCGCTCATATGGGTAAGTTTTCACTATTTTATTCAAAATTTGTATAAATCGTTGAATATTACCGAATAATCGACGCTGTGAATTAAATTGTAAAGTGCAAAGAAGAAAAGAAAAAGATGTCACAAATCGTAAGATGTCGCATTTAATATCATAGGTCAACTTGACGAAATTAACTGTATTACAAAATTGACATAGCTTAAAATTAACCGCGATGCATAGGCACGTGGCAATACGCGAAGAGATATATACACGATATCCTAACGTTCTTAATGACTGACCGTTCCACTCGATATGATGACTTCACGCGAAAGTTCATGGTTATATCGATCATCGATCACTCGATTGTACATGTAAAGAAAAAGAATTGACTATAAAATATAAAATATAAAAAGATATTCTTTTTTTTCTAACCAGAGAGAACAAGTTTTTTAAATACCAACACAAAGAAACAATCTACACTATACTTCTATTGTAACAGTCGATTTCGTACCGAATGATATTCTATATATACGTGTACTTTTCTAAATATATACTGGTAGGATACAAAATCGTTGGCCTTTCGTATGTATTTTTAAACCAACTGTTTTATCACGTGGAAAACGTGATCGTGTTGTGCGCGAGTGTTGTTTGGAGAATTCGGTATAAGGAATTTTAAAGTTTCAGAGGGTGACGCTTTTACGGTTGCTTGGCAACGAGGCCAGGCAACTGGCCAGACAGACAAGCAAACCAACAGAAACAGCTTGGCTGTTCACAGTCAGAGGCACCTACCTCGGGCCCAACGATCCGTTGAAGTCAGAGCCCGTCTCACAAAGAAGGGCCCCTCCCTTGGCGCCCTCCTCGATTCATATAGGGTGTTCTGTAATGTATCTATTCATAGTTATTTTTACAACAAAAATTCATCATAATATTAAGAATATTTTTTATAATTCTTTATATATCATTTATTATCTGGAAAAAATTTTCTGGTTTTAATTTCGTTTTTTTACTATTATATTTTTAATATTATAGGAAATTCATTTAAATATAAAAGTAATACTTAAATATATTGTAATGTTATAATAATGACAATAAATAAATTAAATCGATTGTAATATCAATCGAATCTTTTTTTTTTCTGCTTTTATCTGTTTAATTGATTATAAGTACAATAAATAGAAAGAAATAAACTTTATTTATATAGCTTTAATAATTTAGATACAAAAGATATTCTTTATTATTTATAAATCACTTCGTATCATCTGTAATCGAATTGTTATTATTTCTTTATAATGTTTTGATTCCTTTATACTCGAGAATTGAAAACGAATAGTCAAACAGTTCAATAGCAGCTCGGGTGTTCAAACAAGTCATTCAGTTGCTAATATTGATAAACCACATTGGCACTTGTGCAATGATTCTATTGACAAATACAATATTGACAGTATTAGAATTACAATTATTCATTGTGATTAGATTCTTTAAAATATTTTAAACAATACTTAACATTATAACGAAAATATTATTTTTAATATTTAATTGATTTTTATATAGCGTGAAATCTTTAAACTTATATAGTTATCAATTGCAGATATTGATCGTTGATCAGTATAAAAATATATGAATTCTCGTACAACTTTAATAAAACATATTGATCATATATTTAGATGAAAAAATAGCAATGTTTACACCCCTTATGAAATGTTCCATCGTTTCATTTTTCTCTACATATTTCGGTTCAATTCAACCGTTTCTTTCGTTTTTATCCACATATATATATTCGATGCTGGGTGACAGGCCAACGACTCGCGTATTCGCGTACAGTATTATTACTATATTAGCATCGTCTTAAAGAGACATGGTATCGTTCAAAAATGTTAAAATCACAATCAATACGGAAATATCATTGCAACGATAACATTAGTCATCGATTATGTAAATAATGTGAGTAAAGTTAATTAAAATTCCTGATATATACCTCCTTAGTCATCATTGATTTCTTTATGTCAGGTGTATATATATATATATATATAT